TAAAAGTGTTTCAAGATTTTTAATGAAAAACATTTTCACTAGATACGGAATGCCAAGAGTGATTATTACTGACGGAAGATCTTTAGGAATAGATACATTCAGAGATTGGAAGAAAAGTTTAACATTATTCATAGAATCTATACTGCATATCATCCTCCAACCATTGGGCTAGCCAAAGTTTCTAATAGAGAAATTAAACAAATTCTTTAAAAGACTGTAACCCCTAGTAGAGTAGATTGGTCCACTAGACTGGATACGGCATTATGGGCTTACATGACTGCTTATAAAACTCCTATTGGAATGACTCCTTATAGGCTAATTTTTGGAAAAACTTGTCACTTGCCAGTATAATTGGAGCATAAAGCATATTGAGCGATTAAAGAATTTAATTATAATTTGAAAGATGCTGGTGAGAAGAGATTGTTACAAATGAATGAATTGAAAGAATTAAGAAATGAATCTTATGATAACAACAGAATTTATAAGGAGAAACTAAAGTTATTAGGACCCTTTACTTTGACCTAGTTTATACTTAAAGAGCTATTTAAATTGAAGAACAAAAGACTGGGATTAGATTTAAAGTAAATGGACACAGATTAAAACCGTATTTTGAGGGTAAAAGATCAAATTTTAAAGAGGTTTTAATGGTTAGTCAACCTGAATAATATCTGAATAGGTCGGGCTGACGACGTTAAACTAAGCGCTTTATGGGAGGCAACCCATGGTTATCTTTATTTTTATTTTTATTGCGATTATAGTCTTTTTATTTGAAATTATCGTTAGTTTGTGGTAGTATTGAAATCTACTACTCGTAGTTACCCTTGAATCATCATAAAAATTGGATCTATAGAGAAAATTGGAACGCATTCGGACTAGAGCAAAACTGTAAAATTTTTGTCTTGGGCGCTGACGGCGGGCTCGGGATGAAAGTCTCGACGCTGCCGATGGCGGGTTTTTCCCGAGAGTCCAGACAATTAATTCTCAAGGCTTGTCGACGGTGCCATCGATGCCGCCGACGGAGAGAACGGCCTGATGACTGTTTTCGGAGTTTGAAATGTCAGTTTTTGGTAGTTTTAGGCGAGATTTACTCTTTATAAACTTCCAAACTCGGTTCTTAAATTCATATTACCCAAAAATGAATTGAAACTCCACCAAATTTATCCCTATGGCTTCCAATTCCACTGAAAAATCCTAGATTTCGAGTGTTCAACCGGAGAAAGTTCATTAGTTCCGAGGCGCAAAGAATCTTCAACAAAGTGCTGACAAAGAGGAGATTAATCAAAGAAAGAGGATTCATGAATCGAGGATTGAACAATCTTTCGGTAGTAATTGAAGAGATGATTGTGCGACTACGATGGGAAGTGTTGTGCTACACTACTGCCGTCGTAGTCGTTCCCGTGGTGAAGGAGTTTTATGCTAATATGCAAGGAATCAACCAGTGAGTCGTCTATGTGTGAGGTAGATGAATAACTTTTACTCTTGCACGGATTAATGAGTTATATATGATCAAGAATGTTCCTATCTGCCTTTATTCCAACTTCATCCCGACAAGAAATCTGATGAATGAGATCTACCAATTTTTGACGGACGAGAATGAAGACTGAGAAATGAGAGAAAACATGTATGTTAGTTTCTCTGCTACACTTCTAAGCCCCATTTCTAAACACTGACACTTCTTCATTTCTACAAAACTATTATCGACAATGAGGATCGGTAAAGTTAATGGGACTGTCGATTGATATTGGATCGATAATTGTGAAGTTTGTTTTGGGTCTAATCGTTCATGTTCAATCAATGGGCGATATCAGAGGAGGACCAAGCACTGAATCGGAGGAGTAGTAGATTTACTTTACTACCTATATGTCTATGTGTGCACTTGATTTGAACTTATGTGTTTGTTTTACTTTTGAATTTTGCTTTTAGATCTCAACATAGTTGAGATTGAGCATAAAATGTTTGTTTTCAGCGTTTAGAGTGTTGTGTCTTGGAGTGTGACGCTGAATTTATGTATTAAGGTTGAGAAAATACCAAACTTATGTGTGTCGTGTAACGTGTATTGTAACTCTTAGATTTTATATATAATTGTGATGTTTTGTGTTGTGAATGTTTATTTGTGTTGGTACATCATTTAATCACTTAAATTTATGTCTAGAATAATTGAACGAATGTCGACGAGGCTTGAAATTGATCGAAATCGCAAAAATCTGGAATTGAACTAATTTTGAAACTGTCGCCGATGGCGGATTTTTCTCGAGAATTAGGCTATTTAATTCAATAGAGCTCGCCGACGGCGCTGACGACCCCGGTGATGGCGAGATATCGAAAAAAACACTTTTAACCGCGATTTTGACTAGTCAACCGCCACTATTCATCATTCCCTTCCTCTTAAAAAATGAAAATTTCGATCTAGGGCTTGAAGATCTTGGATTTAGGGTTATTTCAAAGCATTTAGACACCGGATTTTATCATCTCTCGGTAAGAGCTTCACTCTAAACTAAAAATATTTGATTTTCACCTTGAATTTCTTCCACATTGAGGAGATCTAAAAAAAATGAAAAAGTAGAGAAAATATTTCGAAGAAATTCATGGAACTTAGTTTTGAACTCTTAGAGTCACTCTTAGAAGCCATTATTTGAGTATTTGAAGTGTATTTCGGAATTTTTTTTTATAATTTTGATTAGATTGAAATGGTTCCGCGACAAAAGAGGCGACTTAAGTTTGACGAGTCTCGCTTCATCAATGCGAAGGCTCAGTCGAGATTCATTTCAAAATTTCAAGGGAAGAAATGTATACAAGATCATGTTTCTGAGAGTCCGAGAGGAGAAGTCGAACGAGTTATTACCGAACAGATGTGGGAAAATTTCTGTTATGCTACCAACAAGGCTGCTGTGAATGTTGTGAAAGAATTATATGCCAATGCGTTCTATTCTGAGGACGGAACAGTTCGAGTAAGAGGGTTTTCTGTTGAGTTTAGTGCTACCTGCATTAACTCATTTTATGAAGTCGCAGACTCCTATATCTACAATTATGAAACCTTCAGTACAATGGAAGGCCCGCTGAACGATGTCATTAACTTTCTCACTAATGGGAAAGGGACATGGAAGATAAAACAACGAGAACGGGTAAATTTTTCTGCTTCCATGTTGAATGCCACATCTAAAGCGTAGCACTATTTTATTTCCTCTACTCTGTTACTTACCTATCACCATAGTGAGGTAACAAGAGATAGAACTATTCTGAATTTTTGTATTCAGAACAATCAGCCTATAAATGTGGGGAGAATTATTTATAAGAATATTTTGACTACTGCAAGGAGTGAATCAAGTGGAGGTTTGACTACGGCAAGGAGTGAATCAAGTGGAGGTTTGGGACATCCTGGCCTCATTTATGCACTTTGCCAATAACCGTCTGTATCGTAACCCGACCGAACGTTATTTCAGGCTCTTGACCTTATAACTATGTATTGACTGAAATATCCCCTACTGTACCTATTTTACTAGGGGTACAAATGTAATCTCATGGTTCCCATTCCTGTAAATAGAGGATCGTTTAATGAATAAAAATTACACAATTTTATTGTTCATTACTGTCCTCCCTCTATTCTTTTTCTCTCTTTCATGCTCTATTCCTTAGGTGTTCTCCTAGACAAATTTGGATTCAACGATATTATTAAAGATTTAATGACATATTAAATAATAATCCATATCTCCTTACTTCTATTAAAATTTACAACAATTTTATAAAGGCTCTTTTAAATATATAGAATTGCAAATATAAATAATAAAATGTCAACTTTATAAATAATATCTATGTTTAAACTCTTAAGGGGGTGTTTGGTAGCTGAGCAGTATTTACGTAATATTTAATTTATATACAGCCAAATGAAAAAAATTGGGCAAATTAAATTCGTACTTCATTAAATCTAATTTTTCTTCCATTTCGTCACTCTTTTAGTATAAAGCTGAATTTATTAAATCCAATTATTGCATGAATTTAACCGATTTAGCTCAGGAAGAAGTCATAGGAGCAGATTTTTGCCAAACACATAAACAAATTTAATAAAATTTAATTTAGTTGAACCAAATATTATTCTAGATTAATAATATTTGGATTTGATAAATTCGGATTTTATCTCTTACAAGAAGCCAAACACCCCCTAAAATGCTATTTTTTATCTATCTTTTTTAAATCTTATTTACATATCATAATTTTTCAAAAACATCAATCCATTGTTTTTGACATGCAAAAATTTAAATTTGGCAGCTAAACAAACTATTTCAATATTATTTTTTTAAATAAAGAAAATCCTGCCGTTAAATTTTTAAGAAAGATTTAAATAACTACTACTCAATTTGTATATATTTACATATCTAATTGTCAAACTTCTATTATTACCTATATGCCACTTTATCTCTTTCTCTCTCTCTCTACACATACCACACAGATATATAGGATATATATATATATATATATACACACACATGATATATGAATGTATTTTCTTAAAAGAATTAAAATGGAGATACTTTTGAAGTGATAGCTAACATTTAAATTCTATTAAAAAAAAATTTAAATTTTATATATATATATATATATATATATATATATATAGTTATTTAAAAGAATTGGGTGGTATGTACGTCAATGTCTAAAATTTAAATGATTTACACATTTTAAAATTTTAAAAAATTTTCCAAATCAAGTGTCGCTAGCTGGTCGGTTAGATTTCTGCATTTCCGGAGCTGACGAGCGCCGAGTTCGACATTGGGAGGGAGGGAGGAGGGAGCAGAAAGTGGAGGAAAGCCCTAGGCCTCTCTTCTTCCTCCACACCGCTCTTTCACGCTCTAGCTATGGAAGAGCTGCGTAGCGCCCGGCATTGGGGGAAGAAACCGCACGGGTCCGCGGTGTTCGCAAGGCCTGCTTATGACGACTTTTTGGGCAGGATGCCCTTTCCTGCGCAGTTTGAGGATTACTGCGAGATTTTCGGCACTGCAGCTTCCGCCTCCTCAATCCCTGTGCTCGACCTTCCCCCGGCAGATGACGACTTCGTGGCCGCCGGAGACAGCGACAGACGAGTCTGCGTGGACTACTCCGAGATATTCGGGGGACTTAGCGGAGGTGGCTTCATGGTTTCGTACGAGGAGCTGTTTGGCGTTTCAAAGAGACCAGGAGTTTCTTCTTTGGATGGGGTGTAAGTTTCAGCTCTTCTTTCGGCACTGGCCTTCTCTCCTACGGTCGACAGGGCTTTCATTTTGTTGCTATTACGAATTTTTTTATTTGATAGAACTTATGTTATTGTTTTTCTTCTACTTTTATTTATTTCTGTACAGTTTGCCCTTTTGTTCTTCTCTGTTTTTGATCATCTTGTTAAGTGAATGCCGATTAAAACTGGCTTTTTGTTCAAGATACTAAAATTAGCAACGAATATGTTGTTTGATGGGTTTTCCTTCTTGCAAGTTGTGACATGCTTTTGAAAAGAAGGAATGTATTTGTGAATGAATGAGTTCTTGTTTATTTTTAATACGGCTCCCACGGTGTTGTGATATGCCTATTAGTCGTTGGTACGTCTGCTTTTTTTTTCTTTTTTCTTAATCGAAAGATGTAGGTGTTCAGTTTCATATAATAATCATTACTTCGATTGGAAGCATAGAGCTGCTGGCACGATAGGTGATTTGGCAACTGAAGGACATTTGGCAATAAAATATATATTTTTTCTTCTTGGTTGACTAGGATTGGAGTGCCGAACCAATTTTTGTAAGAGATTTATAAACTGGGATTTAAGATTTGTCTCTATCTATCAAGTTAAGAAGCATTCGACAATATCTTTGCGTGAAGGAATTCTCAAGTTCTTAATCTAAGTAGATCATAGCAGAGCATCAAAACTCTCTTCTCTATCTCACTATTTTGATGTTTTTTTTCTTAAAAAGTTTTGTTCCTTCGAAAGCTTCCAAATATACCGTGGTCAAGTTTTTTTCAGGAAAGTCAAAGAAATAGTGAGATAGAGAAGAAGATGGCGAAATACTTTAGCATAAGAAAAATGCATAAACACTGCTTTAAATTCTTTCCAATAAAAATAAAAACAGAGCTTAAGGTTTTATTAGTCATGCATGTTTCACAAAATTTTGACTCTAGATGTCCACTTGTTATGACTAGTCCTCATAAAAATTCATAACTTCTTATACAAACTTGCAATATTACTAAAATCATCTCCATCACACATGCAATAGAATTAAAATAATCATCTCCATGACTCCATTGGATCATTATTCTTTCCATCAAAGATAACTCAGCCATCATTACCATGAATATACTTCAGCCATAAATCTCTCCCAAAACCCTGTCCATTACCTTCTTTAGCCTTTCACCAACTACAGACCTTTTACCTCCAGTCCAACAAATTTCAAAATGTCTGTCCTTTGTACTCTTGTGTTTCAGCATTGTCTGCAATGGTTTTTTTTTTTTTCATCCTCTTACATTTAGGTGCTCTCATGCACATGAATTTGCCAGAAAAATTAATGAAATATCATAACTTATAATGGGAAATAAATACTTAGTGATTTTATTTGGATAAAAATTGTATTTATATATGTTGAGAAATTATGGAAAAGAAATGCAAGAATCAAGAACCAAAAAATCAAGATCAAACACAGGGATTTAATGAGGTTCGGCAAGATGCCTACGTCCCCGGGAGCGAATAGTGGCGCCGGTTTTTTTGATTTCACGAAAAACAGTACATACCTCATACTGGATATATAACCCTAGTGTACAATATATGTAATTATAAAATTACCTCTGTACCATACTGCGGCCAATCCATTTAACAAAACTCTCCCGATTGGACAGATGCATCCGCTTCACTCCACTCGCGAGCTCCGTTGCCTCGCTCCATTCCACTCCAACGTCTGTCCCTTATCTGGTATATGAGTCATACTTAACAATATATAGTATATCACAATTACTGGATATATAACCCTAGTGTACAATATATGTAATTATAAAATTACCTCTGTACCATACTGCGGCCAATCCATTTAACAAAACTCTCCCGATTGGACAGATGCATCCGCTTCACTCCACTCGCGAGCTCCGTTGCCTCGCTCCATTCCACTCCAACGTCTGTCCCTTATCTGGTATATGAGTCATACTTAACAATATATAGTATATCACAATTACTGGATAAATCTTAAAATACTCTTAAGAAGTGCCTCTATATTGGATTGTCATTTCTTCGAGGTGTGTGTGAATTAGTTAGGGTTTTGAGTGGTGTGTCTATATGTTTGGGGTGTGTCTAACTCTGTTCTGAACTATGATGTCTATTGATCTCCTGCTAATTAATCCAAAGAAATGTAATTTCTGTACACATCAGTAAAAGTAGAGAACTTTCAATAGATAATCATAATAAAAGTATATTCTTTCAGCCATAATGTTGACGTTTTCTTTTCATATAAATCCTAAAATTGCTATTTAATTTTTAATGGGGGGTTTTAATGCATTGCTTTTAATCATGGATAGGGCTGGATGGGGTGTGTTGTCTGAACAGGCTAATGAAGCTTCAGAACACTTACTAGAAGGATATTCCAAGGATCACATAGAAATTTTGGAGATGGAAGAGGTTATTTCAGTTCCTAACAATACAGATGAGACAAGTTCAAAGCAGTTCTCCATGTCATACCACAAAACACGCTGTGAAATCGTAGATGATTTAGCTATTGATAAAACTAATATGGCTAAACTCGATGCTATTCATGAATTTAATTTTGTGGTTGATGCAAGCGAACCTGTTATTAAGACGAAAAACCAACAAATTAACACAGCGATCACCACCACTGCATGTACTAAGTCAGTTACACATGATGAAAGACAAGAGAATGAAGCATCATTCAACTCTTTCTCTAATGCAGCTAACTCCGAAAGTCTGATGGTAGGTCAGACATCACCAAGGTCTAATTGTGCTTCCCTGCTAGATACTAACCAAAATGAGAAGTATCATTCTAGGTCCTCTAGCTACCATTCAGCATCTAGTGGTGATATTTCCTTTTCTGATGTTGAGTACTTCAATATATCAGAAATTAGTCTACAAACAAAACCTTTGCAAGGTCCACCGCCTTCAAGATCTCCTCCTCAGCTAATTAAGAAGCCAGATAATCCAAAAATGATACATTTAAATTCCAATTCTGATGTAGAAGATGGAAGCTTGCAAATACCCAAGCTAAAGTATCATATGCTGTCCAACAATGGTGTTACCAAAATCCAGGCAATTGATGAACAAGTTGAAGTCAATTCATGTTTTTATGGTAATGAGATTGATCCTAGTTCAGCTGCTGCAGCTTCTGTAGCTGCTGTAAAAGCGGCAATGGAACAGGCTCGAGCTCGATTAAAAATTGCTAAGGAGTTGATGGACAGAAAACAGGATAAATACAAGAGGAAGGTTGATCAGCCTAAAGCTATGAACTGTGAGCAAGATGAAGCAAACTATGAGGTAGCACTTAGAAGTTGTAACAAGGTGATGGCTGCTAACAAATTGCTCAAAGGGAATAATTCAATTAATGTGTGTGCTTTCCCAGAGAGGCAAGAAATCCGTAATGCAAGGATGACAACTTTGAACCATGAGAAGAAAGGACGACTTCCTTCATCTGGTGAGAACCAACGGCCCATGAGTTCAGATAATGGTTTTAAATCAACTGAAGCAACTTGTGAATTTGATGACTTACCTGGTGAATGGAAAACTGAAAAGCAATATAATGAAGTGATACGGAATGATAGTTTGTTGAATGAAGTCAATGATAGCTTTATGCATGAAAATGAGAAGAAAACAAAAGCAGTGTATGCATGCCAAGATATATACAAAGATGGCATAAACGAAGAACAAGCCTTTGAAGTTCTAGAAAACAAAAAATCATCAGAAGCTACTTGCAGTATTGAAAAGTTTGAAAATGATCACAATTTGAATGGTGCTAGTATGGCTTATATGAAGGACTCAAAAGAGAAAGTTGTAAATTCAATTATGGAAGATTTTCTAATAACAGAAAGTGCAAGTAAGCTTAATGAGGCTTATGGTTGTTGTCTATTGGATGATACTGAGAAAAGATGTGATGCTAACGAAGATAATACCGCTGAGAATGACGGAAACTTGAGAAATGAAGGTGATGTTTACAAAGATAATACTACTAAGGATGATTATAACTCACCAAATTCTTTTGTGGGCTCCTGTTTGTGTAAAGATAGTGAGAATATTATAGTATCTGAAGGGCTGTGCTCAAGTAAAACAACTGACAAAATGAACATGGTTGAAGAAACTAATAAATTCAATGAAATTGTGAGGCAAATTGAGTGCATGAATGTGACATTATGCAAGGCTGACGAGAACAATATATCAATGGAAGAGGACGATCCTAATGGATTACAGGAAAATGAGGAGGCATATATTTTTATCGAAAACGAGCTTGAACAAGAAGCAATTCATAATGCTAATGGGTTAGAAATAAGAGATGCTTCAACTGAGCTCCATGAAGACGAGTTAGTTGAACCAGATAGGAACCATGAGCTGCACAATTTTGCATTCTTGGTAGCAGCTGAAAGCGACTGTGCTAAGAAAGAAAGTGACCACACTCTGGAAGTTCCTGTGGCACGTAATTTTGTGAAAAATCAATTCATTTCAGCTTCAGCTAAGGAGGTCTGGCAACAGAGTGAGGAATCTGATGCCCCAGAGATTACTTTGTCAAGTAAGGAAGATGACTCACCAACTAAAGCTCCAGATATGACAGAAGTTTCTAATGCTGAGGTGGCTGAGAATCATAAGCATTCAATTCTTACTGAAGAAGAGGAAAATAAAAAAGCAGTCATAGAAAAAGTAAGGGACAAAGAGCGAGCTATAAGATTAGAAGAGAGAGAGCGGGAGAGAGAGAGAGAGAAAGATAGGATTGCTGTGGAAAGAGCTAATCATGATGCCCACCAACGAGCACTTGTTGAAGCTCGGGAAAGGGCTGAAAGAATTGCGGTAGAGAGGGTAACTGCTGAAGCACGGCAAAGAGCGCTTGCTGATGCTCGAGAGAAGGCCGGAAAAGCTGCTGAAGCTGAGAAAGCTTCTAGGGGAGCAAGATTGAGAGCTGAGCGTGCTGCAGTTGAAAGAGCAACTGAAGAGGCGCGCCAGCGTGCTATTGAGAAAGCACTTGCTGAGAAAGCTGCCAATGAGGCAAGAAGCAGGATGAGGAAAGGCAATGAAACGATGCCCAAAGCTGCTTACGTTAAGGAAGGTTCTGAGACAAGATTAAAATCCACAAGTGTAAGCAGAAATAATCAAGATCTACAATTTGATTTTATTTATTTATTTTTTTATGTATGGAGGAGGGTTTTTACTTATCAACTGTTGCAGGAAATTCTGCTGAATACACAATCTCAGAGTTCTGCTTGTTCAAACAATGGACAGAAATCTTCAAATTCTTGCGATACTGGTAATAGTGGATTTCTATGGATTATCTATTTTTTGTTTTTTTTTCGGTAGACTTCTGATCTGTTGTTTTTTTTTTAATGTCTATATTTAAAATCGACTAGCTTGTCCCTAATTTTCATCTCGACTGTTTCTTCATGTTAACTTTATAAGTTCTAATGGCAAGCTTGTAAGTAGGTGGAAGTGAATCAGTGTTGAGGTGCAAAGCAAGACAAGAGAGACTGCAACGGACAGCTGAGCGTGCTGTAAGCTAATTTTTTTTCTACGGTTTTTGTTTGTTATTACCTTAACATTGTATTTGATAATGTTTTTCATATCTAATTATTAGGCAAACGCACTTGCTGAAAAGAATATGCGTGATATTCTTGCTCAAAGAGAACAGGCAGAACGAGATGTAAACTTTTCACACGCGAATAGTCTACCTTATAATTCGTTTGATGATAGAATTCCTTATGTTAGTCCTAATACAACTACAACTGTTATTTCAGAGACTTGCAGAGTCGCTGGATGCTGAGGTGAGGAGGTGGTCAACTGGAAAAGATGGGAATTTGCGCGCATTGTTGTCAACACTTCAATATGTATGCTTACTTATTTCCTTAGAATTATCTTTTTGAAGACATTTACAACACATATTTACAAGTTTGTAGCACTTTTTGATGGGTTAAGAACATGCACAGTGATCGCAGAGCATTTGCTATATTACCTATTTTATGTTCAGTAATCTATTTCCAAGAAAATGCGTTATTCATTAAATTTTAAAATTATGGCAAGGCTGTCCTCTTTATAAGAGAAATATATGGAAGTTGGAAGGTAAGTAACGTGGGGCCATGAAAGGAGCTATTTCTGGTGAACTTTGTTTTTGCAATTCCTTGTTGATTTCCTAATCACAGATGAAGATAAAAGAGACCTTGGCAAATATTTTTTACTGTCTTAGTGTGTGTGGTTTTATTTGCATGGCGAGGATGCCAATGTTTTTCTGTTACTGTTTCTACTTCTTACACAGAGTGCTGTACTGGAAGTGCGCTCTCTAGTTTTTAAGTCTATTTTCATAAATATTAGTCTTTTTCTTTAGCGCTTTAGCCTGTAAGAAGCATTGTGCCATTTCACTCACCTGGATTTCATCAAGTTACGTCACTAACACCTCCTAGCTGAATTAACTCTTATTTATTTCATATTTCCTCTTGAACTTTATTACTTAACTGGATTGCTCTCATTAATGATTAAAATTTTCCCATTTGTTTGTCAAGCACGCTGCAGTAGTCTTTAAAAATAATAATTACTTGCACTTTGGCTCTCAGAGTGCGACTGAATATCATTAGTGATTAATTCAGCTGATTTAACATATTGGCAGATTCTTGGATCTGACAGTGGTTGGCAGCCAGTTTCTCTAACAGATGTTTTAACTGCGGCTGCTGTGAAGAAAGCATATAGAAAATCTACTTTATGCGTTCATCCAGATAAACTGCAACAGCGGGGTGCCACCATTCAACAAAAGTACATCTGTGAGAAGGTTTTTGATCTCCTTAAGGTACGATTTATAATTTAGAGGGATCTTGCCCAACCTACTTCATGTGAAATAGTCTCTTTCAGCTAACAATTTATGGGCCTTTTAATTAATTATTGTCACGCCAACTATTTAGTTATATTTCTTTAATGCTTTCCTGTACTCCCAAAAAGTGGAAAAAATGATGCTCAAGCCTAAAACGATATTAAAGAAAACTAATTACTATCAAAGCCCAAACTAATAAAGAAAATGAAAACAATACTTTAGGGGGAGATAGATGAAAATTTGGTAGTGATGACCCAAAGCTTGTGTTAAATCGCATAAATCAGCATCAGGGTAAAGAAAGTGGGTGTATAAAGTTATATAGTTGCACTCTTAGATTTACCGGATCTAGGGTCTACAATTTCCTTAACGAGTATAAGTTTGATTGAGAACTCCCACATGCTTAAGGATTCACCAGATCACACTTCCAAACACATTCATCATTTCTTATGGGGTCAGTCAGAGTTTCATTGGATTTTTGTTTCCTTGGAGTTGGCTATATTATATTGATTAGTTATCTTTTTTCATACTGGCTACTTATTAAATAGCTGATCAATTTTTTTTTTATTCTAAGTTTGGTTTCATCCATATGGCCAGGGTATGTATGCAGCTGTATGTGGGCTTTTGAATTCGAATGCTTTGATCTTTTTTTTTTTTTGTTTTAATACCAATTGGAAATTACATGCTTTTATGGAAAAAATAAACAAAAATGTTTAGGATCGCTTTTAAAAATGAAATACATGCTGAAATTAGAAAATATGAGGCATAAGAAAAATGTGCTTGAAAGGTTGTTTGAGTACCACTTATCATAGGTGAAGTTATCGAATACTGACTTGATTAAATTAGAAAAAGTGTTAAAATTAAATAAATGGCATAGAAAATAGAATTCCATTGGAAGGAATAAATGATTTGTGCTTAGATCATGTAGATAAGTTAGGGTCAACACTAAATTGAACATTCAACATTGATGAATGGAGAAGGATTCATAGAGTCTGCACTAAGTCCTTGGGATATTACTTTCTTTTTTGAGATGATGATAGGAATTTGGGAAAATAGAGTATAAACTTGCACATGATCCAACCATGAAAATTTGTGATGATCTCCTTCAACCCTTTTCCACCCTAAGTATTCTTTATGTTCCTTTGGTCATTGATCCTTGGAAATCACATGATTCATGGTTGGTAAGGTTTTTTTTCTTATTTTGTGATGTACTCGATCAATTTGAAAAGATAGTGAGTTAGATTTCAGGTCATGTTGTTCATCATAAATTTTCTCTCATTAATTAGGGTTTTTTTTTCTTATTGTTAGAACTCTTCGGTCCACTTAAGGTTTTCGAGACCAAGCCATATATTTTTCATTTGCTTTTTTTTTTCCTTTTCTATCAAACATGCCTTTGCTTATGCTTGGTATTAGATATGTAATCAGGGCTTAGTGCAATTCAAGATTGTTTTTTTGGCTAAAAACTTTCTTCATCTCTTAGGGCTTACAAGTATCATTTGGGCATATTTAATTTGCCTCGAGCCACCATAAAATACTGATTACCAATGCGTGATATCCTCAACATCGAAGAACTGTGCTTCCATATTTATTTTTGGGGGCATTCACATTCCATTCAATTCCAATGTACTTACAAATCTAACACCTAAACTTTGTTTTTTGCATTATACCACACCAATCGTTGATATCACATCAAGCTATCGCCATTTTGACTTTTAAGTGTTGAGCTGTAAAATAGAATAAAAAAAAAGAAATAGTTAATACAATTAAATCTCGTAACTACTCCCACCCATAAATCACATTATCGATAACTACTTTATTCAAGATTTTACTGCGTAGTTAATTGAGGGTGGGGTACAAAAAGAAGATGGAAATCAAAGCCTCCATCTCCCTGTGCTATTAAAAGATCGAAACCCAACGCTCCTCTCCTCTTTGATATCGAATCACACTGTATGAAGACCTTCAAAACTCTCATCCTCTTCGTCTCTCCCAGTCCTGTCATGGAGATACAATCATGATTGGAGTTAGTGGGGAAAGCAGCAACATCGCAGTGTACAAAGTCTTCTGTAACTCCCTCCTCAGCTTCGCACGCATAGACTAAATTCCTCGCCTGCTTCCCTGTTTGATTTGTCATTGCATCGAAGTTGAGGCCTCTTCTGTTTGTCTGTTTTGTCTATCTTGACCAAGTTTTACAATACAGGCGTGACAAGGGATAGCTAGCAAAATCTCTGCAAGCTAGGGCCTTCTAAACTTCCAATTTCTCTGTTCATTCTTTCCCTCCAAGCATTTTTCGCTTCATTCCTTGTAATGCGATTCTTGAGCGAGTTCCAACTAGGGAAAAATTTTCTGTTTGGACTCCAGACATAGCTCTATGTGCAAACTCCTAGTAATATACCGCCATGTGTTTTATATCGGACCCATCTAAAAAAATATAAAAACGGAACCGCGGAGGTTATTGGAGTGGAACCTTGGAGGTTTTTGAAGTGGAACTACTGATGTTATTTGGAGAGTTATTGCGAGGTTATTGGGGGGTTATTGGGGTTTTAACTTCAATAACGACGTAATACCTCTCAATAACCCCTCAATAACCTCTGTGGTTCCACTCCAATAACTCCCTACAATAGTCCCCGTAATAACCCCCCAATAACTCTCAAATATTCTCCCAATAACCTCCGCGGTTCCACTTCAATAACTTCCTGCAATAACCCCTCAATAACCTTCGTGGTTCCACTTCAATAATCTCATGCATTAACCCCCACAATAACCTATAATAACCTCTGTTGTTTCACTTCGATAATTCTCTAATAACCTCCGCGATGTAGCACCTGTGACAACATATTATTGGAGTCCGCATGTAGATCTACGTCCGGAGTCCGGACAGAAAATTTTTACTCTTAACTAGAGGTAGTGGGAAAGCAACGATGGGATCATGTTATGCAAAGATCTTCGAAACTCCAGTTCGTACGTTTTTCACAAGTGACCCATCCAATGGAAGGCTCAATCTCTCGATACCTCGTGTTCGCATAACCAAAGCCTTGCCATCCCGGGCCCATAAACAGGACCATATATAGCATATATTATATACAATATAATATATAATATATATAGCATATATTATATATACTATATATATATATATAATACGAATTTTCAGTCACTCTTAATGTGTCTAATATATATATATATAATATGCTATATATATATTATATATTTATTATACAAAAATAAGTTAGAGAGGGCGAGTTAAAAGAAAAACTAAAAATGAAAAGAGAGAGAATTGGTTGGTGATTCGTCGGCTTGCCAATCTCATTTCTGTGTCATTGTTGTTGTTTCACATGTAAAGGTATAAATGAAGGGAAATTGTGATCGCATACTTTCATATTGGTAAATTGAAAATCATTCACGTCTTATAGATCGGTGGATTAGAAGATTCTATTCGGCCGCAGTGTCTCATGATACTGACCAACGCATCTTATACACAGTTTGACAGATATGCAACACCGATGCAACCCCTCAAACGTGGAAAATACCGGGAGGTTGCCAAAATTTCTGATAAACTTGGAGTCTGAAAAGGGACTTAAATTTGAATTGCTAAGATTATTTGGACTTTAAAAGTCACATAAAAATTAATAATAAAAGAAAATACAATTTACGAAATATAGAATAAGTACTAAAATTATGATCTAAGTTCATTCAAGAGGATAAAACCATGCATACAAGACAGAAAGCTTATGAATTTTTTGATAACCTGCTAATTAATGTGATCGAGTTCTCATTGACTTCAAATTCAAACATATATGAAGGTGTTCAAATAAAAAAATGTCATGATGCAAAAGGAATTATGTGACATATTTAAAATATAAATTTTGGGGGTTGATAAACTGATTTGAACAAGAAATATCATAAATTGGGGCTAGGCTTAAATCGTAAATTCCATTTCTAAATGTTTAATTATGAATTTATATGATAATGGGCATCAAATTTGTAATTCTAATTTACAAGCAGATAGAATGTGATCATTTTAATACTCAAAATGATAATACTCATGCAAATATTTCAAGTTCTGAAACTCATCGTTATCTCTTGAATCAAATGTAATTATTGCGAATATGTGAAAGTATTTCAAGACTTGTGTGATTAATAGTTTGTACTCTCTTGAATTGTGTATTCCTTAGGAGATTCGTATAAATAAGAATCATTTACATGATTTCAAAATCTTTGATCTAAATTTCATATCAGAATTATAGTTTAAAAATTGCAACAAGCCTTCAAAATCTATAAAATTCGTTAAGTTATTCAAAAATATGAAATCTAAAACCGCATGGGCTCTTGCTAGGATGCTAAATGCTTTAATGAATAACTTATAAATGTTGCGCAGGATAAGGTAAAACTTACACTCAAATAGTTGTTTTTATTTTGAAAAGTAATCAACCATGCCGTTTTATTTATAGGATAGGGTTATAAGTCCCATCCAACCAGTTTAATTGTTCTCCTCATAAGAACTAAAATTGTCGAGTTTAATGATTTTAAAATAAAGTCCAAATCACTAATATAAGAATTTACATTTTTATATCACAGTCCAATTGTCCTCATTGTTAGGGTTTGAGTCTACATGACTAATACGTTATATATATCAAACTTGGCAAATTTTAAATGATTCTTGAGCTTAAAAGTTTTAAATGTCAAATATCCGATGATAGCTGCGTTGACCGCAAATCTCAATTGAAGGAGTCACGTTTTTTTAAATTATGATTTTTAAATAAAATTTTTAAATTAACAAATTAGACATTCAAGTAAAATTAATTACTTAAAAATCTTTTAACAAATTAGATATTCAAGTAAAATTAATTACTTCAAAAAAATTTAAAGCAAATCACATCTATCTTCCATAACAATTTGTCAAGGATGACAAATATTTCATTGATTTCAGCTCATAAAAGAGCTGATGTGATATTGAGTGTACAATTATATTCACACTCGAATTAATTTCACGCAGATAAAGACGTGGTCTGAGTTATTTGTCAACGTGATTTGACCCAAAGACTCCATTAAATAACACGTACAATCATGGCCTTCTGGCCGAGTGGTTGCTGTCAATTACCACCACTATATTACGGTTACTACTGCAACCCATATGTTTCCAATGATTTTCTAGCCTTTGATCTGTGAAACATAAGGGTACATCTGATTGACATAAATATTATATTAGCTACCGTAGCCAAATATTCACTCTGTATCTATAAGTGTCTTAGACGACACAACTCATAGTTGTTGACAATCCTTCAGTCGATTTTGGTCCACTGCATGCTTTAATTAAGTAGATCAATGACCACGATGAATCAGGGTGATGGAATCATGAGATCTTATTCGTGTTCTTCATCATTTCTCCCACCATCTTCTTTAAGCTCCAAGTGATACATTTTATAGTTTAAAATGTATGTATGGTGCTCTTATATACTGATTTTTTAGTGTTAAATAATTAGTCTTAATCGAAGGCGTTCTCTCGTTATCGAGTGAGGCATCATGGCTTGTGCCTATGGAGAACCTCGAATTCCAGATCAAATGTGGGTGAAATCTCTAAGTAGGTGTCTTATCTACAGTCCCCTCGTGAATATTTAACCTTCAATGCGTTCAACAAACACAAATGGTGAGCGTTAAATGACTAGTCTTAATTCAAAGTGTTCTCCCTTTATCGAGCGGGGTAATCACCATGAGGGCTTTGTGCCTATTGGGAACCTCGAACCCAAGATCAAAAAATCATTGCAAAATGAGAGGTTTTGGAATTTTCGGAGCCCCTATCAAGTAGTACAGTACGCCTTCTCTGAAACAAGTAAGGTGACATGTATATACAAATTAAAATTCCGGTGTTACATATGAAATACATAGGAATAGAGTGGTGTGTATGTAAATCTTCCTTTATTTTAGAACCCCCCGTCTTGCCTTTTAATAGCATTCAAAATCTTTTTTTTTTTGGCAGCTTATATGAATTTGTAGCCTTTTTGGTTCTCACTAGAAAATTTCCCACGTAACGTGCAGGAGGCCTGGAACAAATTTAATTCAGAGGAGCGATAGCAAGAGAATCCGAACGCATCATTAACTGTTATTTGTACCTTCACCGCATTGGTAATGTTGAATCCTTAGTTAACGTTCATTTCATTTGTTTTTGCTTATTCCCGTTTCCTGGAGAATTCGCTAATCTATTATTGAGTTTCCATGCTTAGTATTAAAGCTTCGTTGATGGTATTTGAGTACATGCCACGCAATTCCCATGTATTCGCATATCAAACGCCCAAACTTTGATATTTAAATTTTGTAAACGTCAAATTTTTTATGTCACAAATTATCTCTTATTAACTTTGAAATTGTGAAGGAAACCTTTTAATGCATCAATGATATAAATATAGAAATTAAAGTTTAAGATGAAAGATGTGCAAATACATAGGAATTGTGTGCAAGCTGGAAATAGTAATTCTTTTTTAGCGATTTTTCACATGCTGCATGTATGATAGCTGGAAATAGTATTTCCTGTACACCAAATTTAATTATTTATAAATGTACTGTTAAAATTAAATCGGTGTATTTATGGTTTTCTTAATGAATATTTGTGTGGGAGCAAGTTAAAAGAGAATTTACAAAAAAAAAATATTAGAAAACCAGCGAATTCAAGATTCAATTAAAATTTAAAAAATGGCAGTTTAGTTGGATTAAATGAAATTTTAGTGGTATTATAAACGTAATTAATTGTTAATTTAGTACATAGGTAACATTGCAGGATGATGGCAGTGACATCTGTTAAGTGGAAGTGATGATGTGAGCGCAGGGAAGCATGAGGTGAAGAAAACATTAAGATGTTTTAGTTGCTTAGGAGTGATTTCAACTAAACTATGGTCCTTTTTAAGATTGAAAGAATAAAATTATTGACTTGAGTTGAGGTTTAAAGAGAATTTGTGTGTATCAGCTATCTATTATTATTTTTGCTTTATCATAATATTAAGCTCTATTCTGATCAACCGTGTTTCCCTTACCTTTATTTATTTATTTTTTTTTTTTTTGAAGATTCAAGCTCCCTTAAACACAAGATAAACTCTTAGTCAATGAAAAATCATTTCACACACATAAAAAAAAAAAAAAAAAGTCATTTTTTTTAATTGAAATTTTGAAAAAAAAAAAGCATCGTAAATAGTTTTTTTTATAGAATTTTTTTGGTAGTGTTGCAACACTACCATTAATCAACTATCACGCGATCGCTTTTAATAAATTGCCATCATTCACCCATCATTGTTGAGCATTGCTTCTTGACTGCCATCATCAAATCGACATTGCCCACCAACCGTCATCAATCGAACAACGCCATAAAATTGTCGTCTCATATTCACAATTGTTAGATAGCCACTATTTAACCACAAAAACATGTCCATCACTATCAAATCATTGCTAGCCTACTACCACCGCTTGATCGTCACTGCCCATCTACTTTTACAATCAACGCCCATTAATCACCTTCAATTTAATGCCTCATCACGAACACCATTAGGCCACCATAACCTAACCAACATAATTGATTCGCTTCCCCTTGTCTACCATCAATGATTAACTACCACTTGGACTGCCACCATCTGTTTATTTTGATTAGACTATCATCTTTTATCCACTCATAAAATCACTATCGATGCATAAGTATGATTTCCTATCCATAGTTATTTGACCACTTTTGCATGAATGTGGTTGCCCATTTACATTTGTTAGAATTTTATAACATCCACATGCAACCAATTAAATTCAGTTATTGCGGTCGCCCGATCATCACTACACTCAATAAAATATAGTAAGTTCAAATGTCCTCTAAAATATTCAAAATCTTGCAAAAGATGTTCAGGGCATAACCCTAAATGACTTTAGAATCATTTGGATCATCCTCAGTTCATTTTGAACTTATTACATCTTTAAGTCAATCAATCCTAGTTAAATTAAGATTTAGTTGTGATATTTTAATTTGTACTCAGTGAACTTCAATGTTTTACTATACTCATGAGCAGTGCAATTAGCCCCTTGTTTGATGTCATACATAAGGACTATGTAGGTAAGTACCCTTAGGGGTAACTTAATCATTGAGGAATTTTATACCTCTTTCAATTTAGCTTGAGCTTGAAGTGTTCATAATAAGTTACATTCTTTTTTTTCTATTACATTTAAATGATTTAGATCAAGCTTAGCTCACTACCAAGCTCTTAAATCCTTTAGGGGTAAATTTGTATTCTTGACAAAAAGTTTCATGAAATGTGTTTGATCCTTTTTGAAAGATTGGATTGTATTTAACCATTGATTTTGGGCATCCAATCAGTGAATTATTGTCTTCATAACTCGAGCCCCATTGGAATCATCAAAAACTTAAATATCTTCCAAACCATAATAATTTGATTACTTATAATTTTACCTTTTATAGAAAATAAAATGAATTTGTCCCTACCCTTTAACTATTTGTGTTTCAATCACCTATGGAAGTTATTTATGATTAATACTACCCTCTTACCTTGTGGTTTAACTTAGAGTATAAAATTCCAAAATTACAATTTTATCCCTATAGATCTGCACTTCATAATTCCTTCAATCTAATTCCAAAGACAAAAAATTTCGTTGTTTCCCTACTCGTGGGTTAATTTATACATCAGGGAAAAATTTATATTTTTATGAGTTTTATCTAATTTTTAATAATTATTTTAGTCCAGAAATAGGAATTTTCAATATTAATAAAAACATACTTTCTATGCTTAGAAATTTTCTTAGGAGGTTCACCCAGGTCAAATGACCACTTAGAATAGTTTTCATTAATTTTTGAATTATGTTTTAATTTTTAATAATTTTAATTGATTTTAATGAATAAATAAATAGAAAATATATTTTTATTTCAAAAGTTTATTTTTATATTCTTCATTGATCTCTCTGACTTCAGAGAACTCAGAGAAATGAATTTCACATTTCTATAAGTTTTATTTTATTTTTCATAATTATTTTATTAAAAAATGTGGAAAAAATGCATTTAAACACTTAAAAATATTTTTTTACAATTTAGAAATTTATAAAAGTATTTTTACGTTTATTTCTATAATTAGAGTGAGATTTATGACATTTTGAAATATATTTATACGTATGATTTTTTTGATATTTTTAATTATTTTTAAATTAGAAAAAAATGCTTAAATATTAATTTTTTTTTATTTTGACTTCAATTTTCTTTTTCTTAAGTGCCACTGGTCTCAAGGAACACTCCAAACTAATTTTTGTAATTTTCTGATTTTTATTTTGTTTTTCTAATTATTTTAATAAAAAATTCTTATTTACTTAGAAAATAGATTTTTATACTAAAAATAAATTTTTTGACTTTCAAATTTTTACAGAGACTTTACAAGATTATTTTCTTCATTTTGGCATATTTTGTTATTTTTTGAATTATTTTGTATTTTTCTAATTTTTAATAACTTTATTAATTTTAAATGGAAAATTGCTTTAAAACTTTTTAATTTTGATTTTATTTTTTCTAATGCCCTTTGACTACAGTGTACCTAGCAAACTAAACTTTGCATTTTTTTATTTGTATTTTAATTTTTTATAATTTTTGTAATTAAAATAGAGGTAATTAACATAAAAAAATTTTTATGTTAGGGGTGTTCTCTGCCTTTAGAAAAATTAGAGAAATCTATTAAGCACATGAAGAGTAAGACCTCTAAATTTCACATTATTATGATTAATATTTAATTTGTTATGATTTAAACAATTTTTTATGTATTCAATTAATTTAAAATTAAATATAAAATAATATATATTTTTTTATTTTTGGTTATATTTTTCTTTATTCACTGAGCACAGGGGTATTTTTATTTTATTTTTAGGATTTTTCTACAATAACATATGTATTTTTAAAGTTTCTTAATTAATTTTCAATAGAAAATACCATATTTTTCTACTTATCCACGACAGCGTCGCACCATCCTCGGCATCTTAGAATTCATACACATCATCCACCGATTGACTGACCTTTCCACGTAAGCTGCTGACTTGCCCCGTAGTTCTTTTTTCCATCTCCTCGTTCGATGCGATTCGGTCTGTCCATCTGGTGCACGTGCGAACGGACGACATCCATTCGTCGTCTCCGACTGTCCTAACCCAGGAATTGCCCACACTAAAAAGCTTCAATCTCATTCGATACTCAATGAAATCACTCACAGTTTGTTCTCACACCTTCATCTAAATGAGAAGAACCTATCTATATGGTTAAATACGTATGAAATACACATTTCTTTCACAAATGTCCAAACTGAGGCAAAAATTAGGGATTTCGAGTTATACTTATTCCCAAGAGGTGAAGCCTCGATTGGGTTGGTCTGAGATGATTGCCTTAAACTCACGAACCTCCTCGAAGTGTTACTTTACTTTGTGATGGGGTCTATGCATGATCTCAGTCAGGGTGGCCCAGGTTTGGTCTATGTCTAGTTTAGAGTGCTTGGGAGAGGTATTTTGATTGAGGAGGTGTTATTTTGGTCTGATGAAGCTTAAGGTTCGATCAATTTGGTGTTTTGATGAACTTTGTGGTATGTCCGTGAAATGTCCTAGATTTTGAATTCAAAATTAGGGATGCATGAGTGGTTTCAAGGCTTGAAAATGGTGGAGATGCTCTTCTTAGGATTGTGGGAGTGTGGATTGATTTTGGCAGGGTTTCGATGGTGTTGGTGCACTTGTCCCATTTGGCCATGGGGGTGGCCATTTTATAGGCTCCACCAAGGGGAGGGGGGAGGGCTCCAATTGTCTGGTCAAAGCTTGCTCAGGTGGAGTCCAATTAAAATGAGACACAATGGATGGGTGCAATTTTAGGTTTTAGCCATGGTGGTGTTCTCAAGTTTGGGATTTTTCGGCAGCTAAGTTGGTCAGCCAGCCAAAGGAAAGTCACCATCCCACTAAGGATGATCAGTGGTGGGCAGATGTGAAGCCAATTGGGTTTGTGCACTGGTAGATGTGATTATGTAAAATGGATAGGGGTTTGAGTTAACTTTGGTTTAGGTTGGATTTAGGCTCATGAAAATGGCTTGGGTGGCTTCCCATGGTTGACCAAGGTCTGGTGGACCAGTGGACCAGCTGGATTAGTGGAGTCAAGTCCCCATCCAAGTGTATTAGGGCTAATCATGGGTTTGAGTGAGACATGAGAGGGAATAATCACTTTTAAGGAATCATTAAAGTGTCCCCTCCTTTTGCCATTTAAAGCATGGTGACATGGCATGGTTCTCATGGCTCACCTATGGCTTGGGAAAACACTCATGGATTACATATGGTTTGCCCTTTCACGTTAAGAGGGATTCTGGAATCTTGAGATTATTTTATGAAGTCTTGTCATGAGGCTTATTTTGGAATAGTTTTGATCATGAAGCTCATGGTTTATGGTTTTAAATTCATTAAGTGGATGATGAAGGGAGAGTTGTCATGTGTGTTTTTTATTTTGAGCTTTTATCTTGAATCAAAGCTTTGGGCTTTTAAAATTAGGTAGGGTGGGCTTTTGAAATTGTATTGTGTGCTTCTAAAATTAAGGATGAGAGGGTTAACTTTGAGCTTGATGAATTTTAGGATTTGTCATGTTAAAATTTGGACTTGAATTTGGTGAATTTTGATTTTGGCTCATGGGTTCAATTTTGGTGAAAGCTGGATTTAGGGTCAATTTTAGGTGTTTTGGCTTGAGTTTGAATTTAGGTTTTGAATTTGGTGGAATTGGTCTTGATATTTAAAATTGAGTGGATTTGATAAAAGTTGAGGCAATTTGGAAATTTTGGGTAATTTTAGGGATTTTTGGCAAATTTGGTTAATTTTGGTGAAGCTGAGGCACTTGGGTAACTTGGAAGGGCTTAAAGGTGATTTTGGTAAAGATTGGGTGTTTTGGGAATTTTTGAAAAACATAGGTGTTAAAGA